AGCAACTTTTTTTTTTCTTCTCGGAAAGAAGCACACAAGGTTTTAAGAATAACTGATTATGAATCAGCAACAGCATACATATACAGTGGACGATATTTTATGCGTGAACAGATTATACTGCGTATTATTTACTGTTGTATGTCTGTGATAAGTGACAAAATACCAAATGACGAAAAAACCGCACACACCTTTATTGATGAGAATTCTTTTTTTAAAAAAAGAAAGATGGAAAAGGAAAAATTAAAATAATAATTATCATTTGGATTTCTAATACCCCAAACAGTTAAACAAAGGAAATAAAAAAAAAAAAACCAGATTTCTCAACGGATAAATGAATTCCTGATTTGTGAGAATCTCATTAATCTAGGTTTCCGCGTTTTCAAATTCAGAAATGCATTACTTATTAATTTTCCAATCGAAGTTCCAAATTCGAAAAATAAATTAAATCTAAAAAAGACTTTCAATGGGAATAAGTGGTATGATATTCTAAAAAATAAATTTTGTTTTAAGCGCGAATTCGGTGACTTTTTTCCCGGGTAATTAGGATTCTCGTGCATTTAATAATTGGTTCATCCTTTTGTTTTCCCATATTTACTGTTTATCGAATGTCGTAGGTTTAGGTTAATACACGGAAAACAAGGGAATGATGTATCTAGGGACTACCGATATGCATATGATACTATAAGAGAGAGTTGACGTTATCGAATTTCGTGTCACCTCTGCAGTTATCATGTGTGTGTCATTGTCAAAGGGAATATCGATTTGGGTCTCTAACAATAAGGAAAGAAAAGAGAAACAAGGAAAATTTATGGTGACGACTCATTTTTGACACTACTACCCATCTACGGGCGATCACAGATCATGTGTACAAACAAAACGTAATCTATTGCAGACACAGTGATTGGTGTAAAGTTCTGATACCTTGTTCCCTGTTACGGACCTGTTTAAATATATCCAGAAAAGTACAGATGACCTTTTCCTCGTACCATTATAAGCTAGATGCGCCATTTTATTCCTGAATCGGAAGTATTTCGGGGCATTATATAAATGAATGATGCATTAACTGTCATTAATAGTGATATCCATTTTTGGAACCGGTAGTTGGCAGTACGAAACCAACTCATACTCGGCACATGAATTGAATTTTGATCTCCTTCGGAGCATTAGAAAAATGCGTAGGCACATAAATGCTAATAAAGGGTAGATGCTAAGAGAAAATCGACTAAAATCCATTGGTGAAAAAAAATGTGGGGTGGGCACCATCTAATCCCTACAATGGAAAAAAAATGTATGTATGTGTAAGAAGGCTGTCATTTTACATTCATACGGCAAATGAATTTTTTTTTTTTTTTTTTTTTTCACTCTTGGCTCGACCGGTAAGGCTACTTTTCATTGCGACGGAAACAAAGAGATGGAAAAAAAGGCAAGTCCTTTAGATAAATTGAACCGATGACGATTCATACGGGCTTCAATGAGACGACTTATACGGCTAACCCTCACCTATTACTTTCTATGAAGACCTTTATTCGAGGGTTGAAATGGAATGCACTTGTGTTTCCGAAGTTCGAATTACATCTGATGCACAGGAGATAATGGGCTACGGCAATTACCAAAATTGATGCATCCCTGCAATATTATTTTCCAAATTAATGCTTGATGGCATTGATCTACCGCAAATGCGTTTTAAAAAAAATAAAAAGTAAACGGGGTAACGCCACAACGTAAGAACGATGAAGCGAGGTGCTCCCTTGTCATCTAACATCGTGTTTTTTATACACCCAAATTATACATATTTAATGTGAAGGGTTGCATGCGGTGATATAAAAAACTCTCTTTCGTCAATGCATTGATTGCTGCGTAGAACGACACCGAGTAAATTTCACATTTCACAACACAATTCCGTAATCGTTATTCACGGTGATGGTTCCCTCCCACCTTAGCATAGATGCAATTGATTTAGAAATTATTTTACTCGCTTTCGGAATCATCACACGCATACACTTGTAAAGCAAAATAAATTAAATACATAATCGAGCATTCTATCAATTAATAAAATGCCGCATTGAAAAATAACATCATCTCATACTGGGTTTTTTTTTTTTATTTTTAGTAAGGTTTGGATTCGCTCGTCGCCTGACCGCCACCGATTTACCATCTTTACACAACAAGCGGATTCATCGGAATGTATGTCTTAATTTAAAGCTTGCATCCATCAATGAATTTAATCGTCGATTAAGGTAGACCATTTACTCTTGCATTAATTAATCGGAAAGATACGCCAGGCTTGTGCCAGAGTTTATCCGTGATGAGTTTAGTAAAGTGCATTTGGTAAGGTCTGATGCAAAGGAAAAAATTAAAGAATGGAAGTTTTCTTGTTGAATTAAACAGGATAGATGAAAGGTACACGCCGGCAACATGAGTGGGGGTTAAGTCCAATAATTACCTTTTTGATTTGGACTTTGCATTAAACATTGAGACACTTGATTTTACACAACATTAACATTTATCTTCATGCACGAGCATCGCGTCTCTTTCTTCAAAAATATCGATGAAAATTTATTGGTATTTCTTTCAAGGACAAAGAAAGCAATTGGGTTTAGGACATTCATCACTTGCCAGATTTCGTGATTAGGTTATCGCAAGGTGCGCACACCGTATGACTTGGTTCAGTCATCGCATTGCACCTCAACTTGTCTGGTTATCGCGTCTCCTTATTTTTGTATACCAGCGCAGACACTCGGATCATCTCCCCCCTGTAACACACCAATACACGTCTGCAATCTTATCAAATGTCCTTTTAAAAATGGATAGATGAATTTTAGGAGGACATGTTTGAAACAGGGAAACAAGGAAAAGACGGACCTACCATTAAAAAATACTCCGCGCATCGAGAAATTCCGCGTGATTGTGTGTAGATCCACAAACATTATTCGTCATCAACAGCTAATCACAATTGAAAGACTCCAGGATATCACCGTCTCCTATACCACCAACTCTTATGTAATCTTTGGCGGTTTCGACACAAGCTTCGCAGGTTCAATAAAAAATTTTCCTTTACACGGCATGAAAACATCAAGTATTATTTGTACACAATTCAAAGGTTTCTGATTCGTACGCGCCCGTGTTTTTTCAAGATTTCGCGTTTTCCTTCATTTATTTTATCTTTTTCCGGGTTTACCATTATCACACGTGTTATGCAACCGATTTTCCATTATGGAAATTTTTTTCAAAAATAACAATTTAATTGTGTTATTGCAGCATAAGAAGTAATTGAATGGATTGTGGCGCATACACCTCAAACGTGTAATTTAAACTTTACACCTCGTGTGCCAATCCTACTGGGAATATGCATCCTGTATTTTCGACATACTGATTTGTGATTGTTTTGTCAAAATTCCTTTATCAGATGAACCGATTTCCAACTCTGGATTCATTATAGAAGTCAACGTTGTCACTTTTGTGTACATTTTCCGATGTGTGTCGCTCCTACGACTGCATTGAATGTTTACTTCCAGACGTCAAGTCCAGCATCAAAAACCATGAATTTCCACATGATTGAAATCATGGTCTCTTGCCTCTCTCCCGAGTAAATGCCAAATCTGGCTAACGCATTGTTTTAGTTTGCACATAATATTGTTCTTATCGTGTGCAAGTGTAATGGGAGGAGAGAATGCAAAGCTATTTCTACTCATGTATAGATGTTTGATTTACGTAATCCCATTACATTAGTTGTTGGCATCCGGTTCAGTTCCAATTTTAATCTCTCTATTATTAATTTTAACTCTCGCGAAACGGTAAGGCGACAGCTACGTGCGCGCACAAGGGGGGAATTTTCTGTGCTCATTTGTGCAGGTGTGTGAAAAAAATAAAATAAAAATAAAAACACTAATTGTGTAAGCATTTCTCTTTGGGTCTCTTCTTTTTTGGTATGTGGGGACCGGAAAGTAGTTGATCTGGGAGATTTGGTGATTATCAATACAATGCAATGGATTTTTGAATTATAATTGATCATGCATGTCGAATGAATTTGTATTCATTCATCGCTTCTTTAAAATTGTCCACGAAAACTCGTCGGATAATGGTGCATATGTACAGTACATGATACAATTCTTGGAGGTGGGATTTATTTGAGGATCTGCTCTTTTCATCGTTGCATTATTATTTACATATTGTCGAGAGTATAATCAAGACGGCAGCATTTCTCCAATGGACGGTCTAGATCCGAATAGGTTATATGAATATTAGCTAAACTTTTCGAGAACGCCACACAAATTGTTACTTAGATTTATGCTGCGTACCTAACTTGATCCTTTTGACGTACGACAGGGGTCGATTTCCTGGGCCCAAATCAGTTGATCCCTGTGATATCAATAATCTTGTCGACAGGGGTATGTTGTTCCGTGGTGGCTTGTCAATTCATGACTTTATTTAGGATTTGATGACTTGCTAATTACAAATAACTAATTATAGAAATCATCGATAATTTGTAGGTGACCAATTATAGCAATTAATGATCGTCGTTTAAAAAAAAAACAAATTCTACAGTAGATACCGCAATCAAAAAAAAAACAATGACCAGGGTCCATGGAGTTTACAAATCAAAGGATTGATCGCCGCGAGGATGCACAGACGCCAGTTAGCAAGTATCTTTACATTTTGTCGGAAAAACCGTTTCAGTTTATTAAAATAATACAGTATATGCGCGTACAGTACATTATACTGTATTTCAATAACAATCTTAGATATTTAATTTCGCGCGAGCATTCTGTTCTCAGAGCAATAAAGATTTCCACGGTCATCACCATTTTCGTTCATAAATGCACGTCTGGGATTTTTTTTTAATCTAACGGATATAACCGCCTCGTGTAAATTTACTACTATAACTGGGTCACGCATAAGATTAAACTGTTTGACGTGATCCACAAGATTTTTATTCGCACGACTATTTCCGGGTTAAAATGTCTTGGCATTCTTGACCGAAGATGTACGCCACACTAGATTCATATCACCAAAGCGCTGTCTAAAATTTCATAAGTAATGTTACTAATGGCACCGCTCCTGACATAGTTGGAGAGGATAGACAAAGGCGCGTCCGATATACCTTTGTCATGTGCAGTAAGTAATACGTGTATCTCGTTCTTTGTCGATCGGCGCTTTGTATTATGAGAAGCGTCCCGGATCATCATGATTCTTGTCCTCCCTTGTTGAACAAGGATAATTACAAACTTTGGTTCTCTGAATAATCACCGAACGAATCAAGTACACCTAATTTGAAGATCGATAATCCAGTTGTTATCTCTCGTTGAAAGAAAAAGTGACGTGTTTGTTGTAAGCTGAACAGGTTAAGAACAAGTTTCCTTGTCAAAACTAAAGAATGAATTGCTGAATCAGGTTTAGAATCGTATAGAACTTGGAATTTTTTCGGATCGACAGTCGTGTATGTCAAAAATATTTGTTAATATTACTGAAATACACATTTTTCGGATTATGCTTACTCATTTTGGCAAGCACTTCGAGGTTCTTAGATGTTATTGTTTCATCGGTATTCGCTAACCATTCTACAAATCTTACTATCAACAATTATTGGGGCAAACCGTGGTCCCGTTCGTTGTTAGTCGTGCTTCAGTGCTTCATACATGCTGTAACCGTCTTCGATCTATCCTTTTGTCCATTCAGCTTTCTTTTTGGTCGATAAATTTAATTCTCATATACGCAATGAGACTATGAGAAAAACCTAATCTGTCCGTTTCTGTAATAAGATTTTTGTAACGATTATTAATTTCTTAATAACATAACAGAAATTTTATTTGTCGCTCGAATCTGTTAACATCTAATCGGTATGTATGTTACATACGTAATCGAGATGTGTCATACACCCTACGTTTCTCCTGGAATACAATACACTCCAAAACGGATTAAAGTTTCTATAATAATGGACGAAGCGAATTTTGTGTTCAAAAGTTTTTCGAGAGAAAAGAGTTTCACTGATGTTGACTTTTTTTGGCTCTTGTGCATGATCACCTGGACTTAATCAACCTTCTCGCTCCCATCAACCCAACCTCCGAGAGAAGAAATGGTTTCTAATTAAATTGAACTCCTTCTCTAAAAAGTTTATGCCGAACTAACTCCGAGAATCTCCGCTTGTTTATTATTTATTTATTTTTGCTTTACTACGTGCATGCTTTGATGTTTATGTCATGTGAAGTGTGAGAAGTAGTCGGATTTCAATATCTTATGTGATTGATTGATTGACTGGTAATGAACGCTTGAAAGGTGATGTCACCTCCATTACAAGGAACAAGAAATAAATCCCAGGACCATTCATACCTACCAGTGTCAACCATCTCCCGCCACCCAATAATCTCTGTTCCTCGAGACGTTATTGGAACAATGAATCAACAACGGCTTGATCATTGAAAATTTCCATATACGTCTCAGGTATATATAATTCATGTATTTGGCTACGAATGGGGTTTTAACCATCTCGGAGTCCATTACACGAACGTAGGCCTGTCTTCTTTTTTTAGTAGATTTGGGTTGTATGTAAATGCTGTATGTTCTCGCAAGGACTTCAATGTGTCATAAACATCCTGAAAGCGTGCATCAATGTAATTTGATTTAAGTCGAGATCAAAACCCGCTTTGCATGTTCTCAAAACCTGAACATGCCAAATATGTGAAAAACAGTACATAAGCTATTTTGTGGTAGTTGCGTTATTTGGTAAAAATCACGATTTGGTATTAATGTGTAAGTATGCGTGTGCGCACGCGTGAGTTGGATTGCAAAGTGAACCATCAACCATCACATTCGTCTAGTAACGGTGAAATGGGATCTTTTACGAATGGTCATTGGTTATCTAAAAGCAAAGGTCGGTAAAATGTGGTCTTTGCATGTGAATTGTTTATTATTAAATATGGACAATAATCGATAAACCAATTTCCTTATCAATTATGATTGTTACCATCAGTAATAAATTGTCATTATCTCAATAGCCTGTTAATAAGTTGTTATGACCATCGGACAATCACCAATAAATAAGTATTGCCGGGTCCCGCACGTTACAAATAGAATGTGGTTTCTTACAAATATTGTTTGTAGTTAAATATTGTTCGTGCGAAAAGACATATATACAGTGCATTAGATGTATAATCCAAAAAAAGAATGTTTTTTCTGTTCCCGTTAAAAAGTAAATATTTGGTGCACATTCTGTAAATAAGAGATTATTAATTAATTTCTTATTGAAAGATTGTTAGTTTTTTCTTCAGGTTAATTAAGTCGAAAAAAAAAAAAACTTACCGACATACTACTGTACATGTACGTACAATTTTACTACTAATTAATTATTTGTTTATCCTGGAAATACACTAAAATAAAATTTCAATGATTTTGTGTTAATTTTGAAAAGGTTTTTTTTTTATTGGTCTGTAATTTTATAATTTATTTTTAAAACATAGATCTCTCATCCATTTAAAAAGTCTCATATTACGTTGCAATCACATAATACCTTACGTACTTTATTTATGATGGATAAAAGTTGTAATTAAAATTTTTCAGATTTCAAATCAAATCAAAATAAACAAAAAAGTAAAATACGTATCTAAAATTGAACAATTATTACAATAAATATGAAAAAAAAAAATTTTTTTTAAAGTAAACATTATCACTTTATTGATTGTAAAAATATATAGAATTTCGTGTGTGAAGAATGTGACAATATTTCTTATGGGACATAATAAGTTTAATGTTAACTTATCTATATAATTCATCTATGCAGTAAAAGAAAATAAATATTAAAATCAATATACATCACATAATATCAACTATAAACACTGTATCTACTGTATTTAGAATTTTTAATATAAGTTTTTAGGTAGAATAAAGAATTAAAGTTATTATACAGTATATAAATTTATCTGTAATTAGAATTGAATTATATTAAAATTAAATAATTTTAAAATTCAACTATATATAACCTTTAATAAAGGAATTTTTGTATAATTAAAAAAATTTTTATATAACAATAAAAGTTTTGAAACTTATGAATCTATAGTATAGTAATCAATGCTTTATAAATCAGATTACAAAATATAGGTTCAATTCTTTAGAGAATTAAAATAAAATTTTTGATTAAAATATTGCAGAAATAATTTGTATCTGTTGATCTAACCAATGTTTTTAAATATAGTTAGTTACTCATCTATACAAAGATTATAATTCAATTGAATATATAAAATCAAATAAAATTATTCTGTATATAATCATATTATAATAAAATAATAAAAAGAATAAATTCAAATCAATAACATATTACTGACAATTAAAAAAGATTAAGTTTATATATAAATTATTATAAAAATATAGTATAGTTACTTTGTTAAAAACCAATATAGTATATTAAAGTTTCTAAAAACATATAATTTAGTATAGTTTTGAAATTTATAAGGTTAAACAAAATAATAATAATAATTTGTTTTGTAAAGGTTACAATATTTATTGAATAAAATAAAAATTCAATCTTTTTTTATTTTTTTAATAATTTAATTATCAAATATTTATTTTTATTGTTTATTATTTCTCTTTTTTATCTTTCTATATATATAAATTACAATTTATTCTATTTATATAAAATTAATAATATAATAAACAATTTCAACTATAAAAATAATTAATAAATAGTTAATAAATAGCTAATTATTATAACATGTTTCTTAATTTTTCATATTTATAACTTAAAGATAATCATATAATATTATACTAACTTATTTAATTAAATAAATAAAAACATTTGACAAAATTTTTAATTATCTTAAAACCAGTAACCAAAACCTTTTTTTGAATTTTAAGTAAGTTATTTAGCAAATAAAAATACTATAAATATATTATTAATAAATTGACATATTTAATTTATATTTAACATAAAACCTTTTATTTTACAATAGTTAAATTTTTAAATTTAATTATAAATAAGTTTTAATAATTGAATAACATGATTTTTAAACCCTATTTTTTTTTATTTGAATTTAAAAAATCATCAGTAAAAACTATAAATTTATTAAGTTTTTTAATCTGTAACAAATAATTACAAGCTTATATTAGATTTGTTTTATTGTAATAAAATATTTGTTACTCATTATTATTATTATTATTATTTAAAATATAAATATATAATAGAATATATTTTTTATTAATATATTATTAAATCATATTATATAATAGAAATTGTTACCAAAAAACATTCTTAAAACTTATATAAGCCAATAACTATATATATTACTCTATATAAATTATTCTTAGTAATTACTTTTTTTTCAATACTTTAGTTTTATTGTTTGATAACAATCAGTTATGATATAAGAGACAAATTAACAAAGAATAGAAGTCTTGTTATTAGTTTATACTACACAAATCTATTATTGATTCAATTTAAAGAAAAAAAGTTTTAATTAAAAAATTAATTCAAGTATCTTTATTATCTTATTATCTAAATCTTATATTTTCAAATATATAATATATATACTATTGTATTTTTTATTATCTATAATTGATAAACTATTTAAGCTCTATATCATATTAAAATAATCCAAGCTATACATGTGATAAAATTGAATTTAGACATTTTTTCAAAAACTATATTATTATTAAAAATATAGTAAATTAATTAAAAATTATATTTAATTAAAAATAATGTTACCATATATGGTAAATATTAACAATACAACCATATGTATAATCCAAGTTAAAGTTTATATTATTATATTGAAAGAAATAATAATCAAAATTGATTAAAATAAAATATAATCCAATTTGTATATTCAAATATGAAAAAAGTTTTGATTAAGAAAATTAGACAGATACTTTTATATTATTTTGTTTAATCACTATAAATTATTATATTATTCTTTAGATAATTATTATAATATTGTATTTTTTTTGAAAATTACAATTTCAATATTTATTGAATCAATATATAAAATAATTTCTTATAAAAAACAATGCTTAATAGATTATGATATCAGATACTATTTTTAAACTAACTTAATTGCCTTTATCTAAAGTTAAACCAATATTTTGTGATTTGATCTATAATGTATTAACTATTATACTATTGATTTATAAGTTAATTATTTATTATTTATAATAATAATAATAGATTTGTACATATTAATTTGTTACTAGAAATATTACTTAGAATATTTATAAAAATTTTGTTATATTAATAAAACTTTTTAATTAAAATATTTATAAAACTGGTTTTGTTTTTGTAAATAAAAATATAAACTAAACTATTTTTGTTATTGTTAAAAAAATATTTAATAATATTACATTTGGAAGTATAGATTGAACTGTATTCTATTCTAATTAATCCTGATTATAATTTTCTCCTTCTGTTAATTGCCAAAATAAGAAGTCTTGAAGTAGAATACTAAACCAATATTATTTATATAAAGATATAGCAACCATATAATAAGACAAAATATATAGAAATTGCATCCTGATATTTCTAGATTTGACAGCTTATATCAATTGGTCCAAATTTAAAGTGTCTATTAGAAATTTAAGAAATATTGATTCTACATTAGTGTAATACAGATAAACAAGTTAAACCTTTAAGAAGTTGTATTTCACTTGACCATTGGATCTTTAAATTTGATAGTTAGTGCTAATCAGTAGTTAAAACTGAAGCATTTATTAAGAAATATATACTTGCATCAAAAGTATCTGCTATTGCATATGATGTATAAGCAAAAAAATATAATATAATAAGTAATTTATATAGAAAATTAATAGTACAGTATATATATATAATATATAATAAACTCTATAGATTAGTTAGTTTAAATCTAGCAATAGAATTTCTACCTTTCATAGCATTCTGATATTACAAGGAAAAGTTATTAAATGATGGATTTATGAATATTAGATTAATAAATTTAATAGGTTAATATTTAGTTGTAAGATATTTAATATAATAAAAAATTGTATATATTAATAAAGTTTACATCTAATGTTATTTAACTTTAAAATAATAATAATAAATTAAAAAATAAATTAAAACTTGTATTTTCAAATAAATTACTTTTAATTAGTTAAATAGTAAATAAATATTAAAAGTAGTAAAAGTTTAATAATATTGATATTTATATAATCAAAAATAAAATTATAATAAATAAAAAATATTATAAAAGTTTTTTTAATAATTTTATTTAATAAATAGGTTTAGAGTATCTAATAAATATAATTATTGAATAAAGTAATAATAAGTTCTCAATAAATATTGAATAACAAAAAAGATAATATAAAATTAATTTCAAAAATAAATAAAGTAAAGGTATAATTTTTGATAAAGAGAAAACAAACAGTATAAGATTCATTTAATTGTTTTTATTAAAAAATCTCTTTAGTTAATTCTGGATTGCTTAAATACAATTGATTATATAAATAGTTAATATGCTCAAACATTTAATAATTTATTATAAATTTTTATTATGAATATA